CGGACCCCCGCCCGGCCTGGCGGGCAGGCAGAGAAGAGATGACGGAGAGAGAAAGAGAGAAGCCCCGGAGTTCTGCTTGCTGCTGTTATTATATGCTGTGCCCTTGTGGCCTGGTGAGTGGTGTGGTGTGGTGGTCTGTGTGTTATATTGATATCATATATAGCCCCCGCATTTCCCACCTGCCATGCTGCCCGAACCCCGGGCCGGGGAAGCTTGGGCGAATCGTGCGCTGCCTGTGCTAGCCGTTAGCGTGGGTTCCGGGGATATAACTGCAAACAGGCAGGTGCGGGCTTGCCCTCACTGAGGACACAGCTGGGTTCACAGCGGAAACTAGTATCAGGTAACTACAGAATAGTCTTTTTTTCTTTTTTTTTTTTTTTTTTCCTGAGACGGAGTCTCGCTGTGTCACCCAGGCTGGAGTGCAGAGGTTCGATCTCAGCTCACCGCAACCTCTGCCTCCCAGGTTCAAGGAATTCTCCCGCCTCAGCCTCCAGAGTAGCTGGGACAGGCGCCTGCCACCATGCCCAGCTAATATTTGTATTTTTAGTAGAGACGGGGGCTTTTCCACATGTGTGCCTAAGGACTTGGTCTCAAACTCCTGGGTCGCAGCGAGCCACCCGCCTGTCGCCTCCGCAAGAGTGCCGGGATTATAGCGCTGAGGCTTGCTGGTGCCGGCCGAATAGCTTAAGGCGTGTGTGAGGGAGAAGCCAGCAGGACTGGGTGCGCCCTCATGTCCACCTTCCGGCAGGACCTGGACGGCGCTTGTAGACGCTATTTCAGGATAGAGAGCTCGTAAGAGGGATGAAGAATCGCTTCGGCCACCTAGATGGCTTGGAAGAATCAACCGTACGTTGGGCTCTCAGCAGACAGAAAAAGTGTGATGAGTAATAGTTCTGCTTGTTCCGCCGGGAGGGGGGCTTGTTGGGGCCCCTGGTAGTGCAGTTATTGAGCGTCCCACATCCTTGGTGCGTCTGCAGGAGGGCGCCGAGCGACACGTGAAAGTCCCGTTCATTCACCGGGCTCTGCTCTAGTGACCTGGGATCAGCAGGACCCAGACATTCATGCAGCCTAAAAGAGCTCGCTTGGCGACGTCACGTGCCCCCGAAGACTCGGGAAGAGGGCGCCTGCGCCGGCGTACTGGTTGGAGAGGTGAAGTGCAGCGTTTGCGGCGCCGGTAGCTGCCTGGGAGAGTGGTGCCGAGGTGTGTGGGTTCTTTCTGCTGCGTGTTGTTGTTGTGTTTTGTGCGGTTGTGCTCTGGTGTGGAGTGCGAGTGCGTGATCTCGCTCACTGCGAACGCTGCCGCCTCCCGGGGTTTAGCGAATTGGCTCCTGGCCTCAGCTGCGGCGGCAGTAGCTGGGACTACAGGCGCCCGCCACCTCGCCCGGCTAGTTTTTTGTATTTTTTAGTAGAGACGGGGTTTCACCGTGATAGCCAGGATGGTCTCGATCTCCTGACCTCGTGATCCGGCCGCCTCGGACTCCCAAAGTGCTGGGATTACAGGCGTGAGCCACCGCGCCCGGCCAACTGGAGGTTCTTTCTAAACAATAGATCATATATGCTCAGGCCCGGCCTGGCACTGGTGGGGGAGGAAGGGTCCGTGAACCCAGTGAGGATCAGAAAGAGGAAGTGGGCTGCAGGAGATGGTGGGAGGGGCAGGGAGGGCAGTGGCACGATGTAGGGATCTGCTGCCCCCTGGCCAGTGCCTGGGGATGCCAGCAGAAGTCCTGGCAAGTCACAAGAAGAGGCTGGGTGGGAAGTCAGGGCCTGCTGAGCGGTAAACCAGAACCCGAGCCTGGCAGGCTCTTGAAGATGGGATGCTGGTCGTTGAGTCTCACATGCTAACCTCTGCTCCGCCTCTTCTCAGAGCTGCGCATAAAATCCAGCTTTGTGGCACCCCTGGAAAAGTCATATGGGACCAGGCCCAGAGTCCTGACGGGCAACCCTCGCTTAGACCTGCAGGAGATCAACAACTGGGTGCAGGCCCAGATGAAAGGGAAGCTTGCCAGGTCCACAAAGGAACTGCCCGATGAGATCAGTATTCTCCTTCTCGGTGTGGCGTACTTCAAGGGTGAGCGCATCTCCACTTTTTTATTTTATTGTATTTATTTGACAGAGTCTTACTCTGTAGCCCTAGCTGGAGTGCGGTGGTGCGATCTCAGCTCAATGCAACCTCCGCCTCCCAGGTTCAAGCGATTCTTGTGCCTCAGCCTCCCGAGTAGCTGGGATTATAGGTGTGCACCACCATGCCCAGCTAATTTTTTGTATTTTAGTAGAGACGGGGTTTCACCGTGTTGGCCAGGCTGGTCTCGAACTCCTGAACTCAGGTGATCTGCCCACCTCAGCCTCCCAAAGTGCTGGGATTACAGGCATGAGCCATCGCACCCGGCCCTTTTAAATTTATTTTTAAATTAAGAGACAGGGTGTCGCTATGATGCCCAGGCTGGTCTCAAACTCCTGAGCTCAGGTGATCTGCCCACCTTGGCCTCCCAAAATGCTGGGATTACCATGTCTAACTTTCCACTTCTTTTTTGACCAAGGGTGGGTGGCAGGCGTCAGAGGGGGCTTGGAAAGGGGAGGTGTCAGAGACCTTGCCCAGCATGGGGGCTGGGGCACGGCTGGGGGAGGATCTGGGAACTGCACTTGCCTGGAGCTTATCTGCTTGTCATCAAATCCAGGCCAAGGTATGAATGTCTATAGAGAGTCAGAGACTTGTGGAGACAGAAGAGCAGAGAGGGAGAAAGAATGAACACTGGGCCTGTTTGGGGCTTTCCTGGCCTTTGAATCAGACAAGATGTATTTATTTATTTTTTTAAGATGGAGTCTCATTCTGTCGCCCAGCCTGGAGGGCAGTGGTGCGATCTTGGCTCACTCACTACAGCCTCCCTACCTCCCAGGTTCGAGCAATACTCCTGCCTCAGTCTCCCGAGTAGCTGGTGCCCGCCACCACGCCTGGCTAATTTTTTTATTTTCAGTAGAGATGGGGTTTTGCCATGTTGGCCAGGCTGGTCTCGAAAACTCCTGACCTCAGATGATCCGCCCGCCTCGGCCTCCCGAAGTGCTGGGATTACAGGCGTGAACCACCACGCTGGCCGAATCAGACAAGGTTTAAATCCCAGCTCCGCCTGTACTAGCTGAGGAACTCTGCACTCATTTTGTAACCTTTCCGGGCCTATATTCTCACCTTCAACGTGACGATAATACACCTACTTCATAGACACCTTTTTACGTTGTCTCCAAGTTTTACAGCAACTCTAGTTCTGTACCCAAGACATGGCAGGTGACCAACAACATCCTTCTAGGCTGTGGTTATGTGTTTGGAGATCATTCCACAGGCCTAGTGTGGGGCCAGCCCCGTTCAGATAAGGCCTTGTGGGGTGGCATGGGGCAGGGGCAGGGGTTGGGCACCCTCTCCCTTAAAATGCATTGTAACTGTCGGCCGGGCACGGTGGCTCACGCCTGTCATCCCAGCACTTTGGGAGGCTGAGGCGGGCAGATCATGAGGTCAGGAGATTGAGGCCATCCTGGCTAACATGGTGAAACCCCCCGTCTCGTTACCTAAAAAATACAAATAATAAATAAATAAATAAATAAATAAGCCAGGCGTGTGCGGGCGCCTGTAGTCCCAAGCTATCAGGAGGCTGAGGCAGAGAATGAGCATAAACCCGGGAGGCGGAGCTTGCAGTGAGCTGATGATCTGGCCACTGCACTCCAGTCCTGGCAACCAGAGCGAGACTACCGTCTCAAAAAAAAAAAGAAACCAATGCTTTGTAACTGTCTGAGCGCACCCAGCAAGGAAGCGGCCCCCAGCCTGGAGAAAATCCGACATGGCCTTCCTACGTCAGCACTGTTCTGGTGTGTGGAGAGAACAGCTCTGGATCCAGATACTATGGTCACATTAAGATAGAAGGAGCCTTGCCATCAGCCTGGCTTCAAGCGTCATCCAGTTACTTCACCTCTTCCGCTTTCGGCCGGTGTTTCAGCTGCGAGAGGGCATGAATCCCAGAGGACCTCAGTACGGTTCCTCTTCCAGCTCGGACCGCTTTGACTGTCTCCCGCAGACATCTGCCGTAGGAGTGGCACAACCAGTTTACCTTTTCGTTCTTTTGTTTTTGAGACAGGAGTTGTGCTCTTTTTGCCCAGCTGGGAGTAGCTGTGGCGTGATCCTTGACTCACCTGCAACCTCTGGCTCCCAGGTTCAAGCGATTCCCTGCCTCGGGCCTCTCCGACAGTAGTTACTGCGGATTATACGGCAGCCCACCACTGCGCCTGGCTTAATTTATTGTATTTTTAGTAGAGACAGGGTTTCACCATGTTGGCCAGGCTAGTCTCGAACTCCTGACCTTAGATGATCCACCCGCCTCTGCCTCCCAAAGTGCTGGGATTACAGACGTGAGGCACCACACCCGGCCATTTTTGTATTTTTAGTAGAGACGGGGTTTTGTCATGTTGGCCACGCTGGTCTCAAACTCCTGACCTCAAGTGATCTGCCCACCTTGGCCTCCCAAAGTGCTGGGACAACAGGCGTGAGTCACTGCGCCCGGCCATTTTTATATTTTTAGTACAGTGTTTTGTCATGTTGGCCAGGCTGGTCTCAAACTCCTGACCTCAAGTGATCCATCCACCCCAGCCTCCCAATATGCTGGGATTACAGGTGTGAGTCCACTGCGCCTGGCCACCAGTTTACTTTTCTTGCAGGCTATCACAGAACGTGTACAATCCAGAGAGCCTAATCAGTCAAATCAACGTCTCGCCATCGGAGTTTGCTGGTGAAGGGTACTCGGGGTCCTGGAAATAACTGTGGGGTCCAAACCACACACACTGAGACAGGCCTATTTCCTGAGGCATCAGAGCCCCTGACGGCTAAGCTCCCTTAAGTCAGGCAATTTTCAACAACGCGCTTTGGGGACACAGCATGGTGCCACCATCTTTCTGGTCTCCTGGGGCTCAGACTGTGTCATTCATTTCATTCCAGGGCAGTGGGTAACAAAGTTTGACCCCAGAAAGACTTCCCTCGAGGATTTCCACTTGGATGAAGAGAGGACCGTCAGGGTCCCCATGATGTCAGACCCTAAGGCTATTTTACGCTATGGCTTGGATTCGGATCTCAGCTGCAAGGTCCGTAGGGGTAGGGGCAATGTGGGTGATGGGTGGAGGGAGAGGACAGAGAAGCAAAACAGGGGAGTGGGAATAAAACGACCTGTGAGATCTGACAGCTGTGTACATTTCGCCTGCTGTTTGACTTCGAGCAGGTTAGTAACATCTCTGAGCCTTTCCTCTTCTTAAGATGGGGAAGGGGATTGTTATCAACACTTATCCTCCCAGGGTTTGTTGGAAGGATGAATAAGGTAATATGAAACGGGCCCTCAGATTGGGTGCCCAAATGTTAGTTCTCTTTCTTTCCTTCAGACTCCTATTTCTAGAATTTAAAGCCAGACTTTGAAAAATAATGACAAACTCCAAATTGTTGGCATTCTTTTTTTTTTTTTTTTTGAAAAGTCTTGCTCTGTCTCCCAGGCTGCAGTGCAGTGGCATGATCTTGGCTCACTGCAACCTCTGCCCTGTCGAGTTCAAGCAATTCTCCTGCCTCAGCCTCCCTAGTAGCTGGGATTATAGGCACCTGCCAGCACGCCTGGCTAATTTTGTATTTTTAGTAGAGACAGGGTTCACCATGTTGCCCAGGCTGGTCTCGAACTCCTGACCTCAGGTGATCCGCCCGCCTCGGCCTCCTAAAGTGCTGGGATTCCAGGCGTGAGCCACCGCGCTCAGCCAATCGTTGGCATTCTAAGGCTTTCAGTGTACCTGACTTCTTTTAGTTGTAAGTCTGTAACTGTTAACCTTTGTTGGGTCATGGCCATCACATGGGATCTCTGGGAATCTGACGACAGTGCCTCAAACCGGGGAGAGCACTGCTAGGTGTACACACACACGTTTCTGAAACTCGGGGAGCACTGCCAGGTGTACACACACACGTTTCTGAAACCCGGGGAGCACTGCCAGGTGTACACACACATTTCTGAAACTCGGGGAGCACTGCCAGGTGTACACACACACGTTTCTGAAACCCGGGGAGCACTGCCAGGTATACACACACACGTTTCTGAAACCCGGGAGAGCACTGCCAGGTGTACACACACGTTTCTATCAACGATTTCAGGAGACTCTTGGGACCCTGACACCATCTGTTCCATGGACTGTGTAGGTTGAGAGCCTCTGTTCAAAGGATGCTTTTGCTCTTCGTGGGTAGACGGGGTGGAGCCTCCAAGCCCTCTTACGGCCCCTTCGGTATTCCTATCCCCGGTTCTCTCTGTCTTAGTCTAGCGCTCTCTACCTAACAAATGATCAGTCAATGTTGGCAGATAGACTTTGGGAGAAAATAAAGACCTGAAATTCAATTCTAGCTCCTTAAACCACAGGAGAACATTCTTTCAGCAGATAACTTCAGTTGGTATTAGGCCAAGGTAAGAAAGGCCAACAGCCTCCTTTCTGAAGAAATCTCAGGCGATGGCTTGCTGCCAGAAAGCTCGAACCTAGAGGGGATTGTTAAATAGCTGAGGGGCTGGGGGAAGGACGAGGCCAGGGCCCCGCCATGGGAGAGGAAGACAGCTCCCGGCTGTGTCTGTCCCCGGCTTTTGGCCTCTAAAGGACTAACCCACGTGCTTTCTCACCTGTCTCAGATTGCCCAGCTGCCTTTGACCGGAAGCATGAGTATCATCTTCTTCCTGCCCCTCAAAGTGACCCAGAATTTGACCCTGATAGAGGAGAGCCTCACCTCCGAGTTCATTCACGACATAGACCGGGAACTGAAGACGGTGCAGGCGGTCCTGACCCTCCCCAAGCTGAAGCTGAGTTACGAAGGCGAAGTCACCAAGTCCCTGCAGGAGATGAGTATGTCTGGAGACCCTTTTGCTTTTGGTGGGTGGGGCGGGCCGGGGTCTTCGGGCCTTCCACTTTGCTGAGCAGAACTCAGGGCTCCACGGCCTCGCAGGGCCCGTGCATGATTCCTTAATCCTCGTCCTGCCGGAAGGGAAGGCCGAACTGCCTTCTCTCATCAGACTCATTCCTCAGCCTCATGAGCAGACCTCCTTCACAGGCGCTCACGACACTGCCTCTCAAGATGAGTCTGTCTGACCTGTTTTCTCATCTTGACCTAACTTGCTAAGTGCTCCTGGGCAAGTCGCTCCACCCTCGGTCAGCTCTGAGCTCTTGAGGCCTCCCAGAAAGTCAACAGTGGCGCGCCATCCCAGCTTGCTCGCAACTGGATCCCTTGGTCGGGGTGTCGGGGAAGGCAGGGTTTTAACGGAAATCTCTCTCCATCTCTACAGAGCTGCAGTCTTTGTTTGATTCACCAGACTTTAGCAAGATCACAGGCAAACCCATCAAGCTGACTCAAGTGGAACACCGGGCCGGCTTCGAGTGGAACGAGGACGGGGCGGGAGCCACCCCCAGCCCGGGGCTGCAGCCTGCCCACCTCACCTTCCTGCTGGACTATCACCTTAACCAGCCTTTCATCTTCGTCCTGAGGGACACGGACACAGGGGCCCTTCTCTTCATTGGCAAGATTCTGGACCCCAGAGGCACCTAATACCCCAGTTTAACATTCCAGTGCCCTAGAAGGGAACCCCAGAGGGACAGCAGATTCCACAGGACACAAAGCTGCCCCCGTAAGGTTTCAATGCATACAATAAAAGAGCTTTATCCTTAACTTGCTACTTTGTTCCTCCTCCTATTTTGAGCTATGCTAAGTATTATATGAAGAGAAACTGCTCTTTAGGAGGTGGTCCTCTGCTTCTAGCCCGGTTTTATCTAAACGCTGCAGAAAGTTACCGTTTATAAGAACTTTAAGGTACCTGTGTTGGATAATGCAGGGACAGCTTCTCTGCTCTGGGGGTGTTTCGGTACTAGGATCTGCGATCCTCCCGGGAGGCCATTTCCTGCCCCCATAATCACTGAAGCACGCTTGTAAACAACACACGGAGAGATGAGAGAGGCCATCTGTAACTTAAGGAAACTGTTATTTTATAAATCATTTAAAGAAAGCTTTCAAGGACACAGTAAATAGATCCGATATGTAAAGATTCTAAACATATTCTTTGTAAGGAGGTATGCCTATTTTACAAAGTACAAGCGGCCGCGGTCGGCCTCACGCTGTAATCCCAGCATGCTTTGGGAGGGCTGACGCGGGCGGATCACCTGAGTTGGGGGAGCTTCGAACCAACACTCATCAATATGACAACCGGGTCTACTAAAAATACAAATTAGCAGGCGTCTGGGCTGCCAACTGCCTGGTATCCCTGCTGACTCGGGGAGCTGAGCAGGAGGAACTGCTTGAACCTGGGACGTGACGGAGTTGCAGTGAGCAAGATCATGCCCATTCATCTCCAAGCCTGGGTGACCAAGAGTCGAACTTCTCAACACAAACAACAAAACAAAACCCAAAGTAAAGCCGGGGGCGCCTAGTGGCTCAAGCTGTAATCCAGCACTTTGGGGAGGCCGCGACTGCGGCGGATCACGAGAGGTCCGGAGATCGAGACATCTGCGCCTAACATGTGAAACCCCTGTCCCTCTGACTAAACATACAAAAAACAAAACTCAGCTGGGCGAGGTGGTGGGTCGCCTGTAGTCCAGCTACGGGGGAAGTTGAGGCAGGAGATGGCCGTAAACCGCTGGGAGGCGGAGCTGGCAGTGACTGAGATCCCGGCCACTGCACTCTAGCGGGCGACAGAGCAAGCACTTCTCGCCTCAAAAAAAAAAAAAAACAACAAAAACAAAAAAAAAACCCCAAAGTGTAACTGGGCGCTTTTTGAGGAACCATGGAAACATGCCCAGTGTTTGAAGTACGGATAACTACGACACACGGACAAACCTTTTTTTTTTGCTTGAAAAAGCTCTACCAAAAAGTCAGCTGTCTTCTCGAACCTTGTCATCAGAGTATTCAGAACGAGAGCGAGAAAATAGATATTCTGGAGCTCGTTCTACAGACTGTTTGGAGTGGCTAAATTGTATTCAGATGCCAAAAAGCTATTGGCCAAGGTATCTCTGGGGCTACTGATTTCCTGAGTCATCAATCACAACGGCCACTGACGGGCACTCTTGGGCACAGCTCAGCGGGTGGCGCAAAGGCTCTCGCAAGCAGCGTGGATGCTGGCATTCTTTTTTTTTTTTTTTTTTTTTTTTGAGACGGAGTCTGCGCTCTGGTCGCCCAAGGCTGGAGTGAAAAAAAAAAAAAAAAAAAAAGGTTGTTGTGTGGCCGGCAGTCTCAAGCTCACTGCAAGCTCCGAACTCCGGTTCACGCATTCTTCCTGCCTCAGCCTCCCGAGTAGCTGGCGCACACTCACACACACGGCGCCCGCCACGCTCGCCCAGCTAGTTTTCTGTTATTTTTAGTAGAAGACCGGGGTTTCATCGTGTCGGCAGGATGGTCTCGATCCTGACTCGTGAATCCGCCGTACAACCACACCTCAACAGCAGGGAACCGAGCGATTAACAGACAAAACACACGCGCCCGGGCCTTTTTCTTCTTTTTTTCTTTTTGAAGACAGAGTCTTCGCGTCTGTCGCCCAGTGCTGGAGTGGCAAAGTGGCGTGATCTTGGCTCACTGCAAGCTCCGGCTCCAGGTTCACACATTCTCCATTGCGTCTCGCCTCAGCGCTGCCTGAGTAGCCTGGGACTAAGCAGGCGCCACCGCCACGCCGGCTAATTTTTTGCATTTTTTTTTTTTTAGTAGAGCGGGTTTCACCGTGTTAAGCCGGATGGTCTCAATCTCCTGACCTCGCGACGCCGTCTCGGCCTCCCAAAGTGCTGGGATTAGGATCTGGCAGTTTTTTCCACGAATGCACCTGAGCTACTTGGTCACCAGTGGTAACAGCAACCAGGGTTCCGACCTAGGGAACCCCGTACCCTTCTGACTGGAATGGGGTTGGGCTCTTGCTACACATCCTGGTGGAAGGGAGCCGCCATCCCTACCCTCGGTCTCTTAAAATCTAAACCACAAACAGCAACGAATCCCCTGCAGCCCCGGTTCTCATACGGTCTGTATTCGACTCGCCAGCTTGGAGAGGTCTGGTAGAGAAAAGGAGTCTCTTTAGGTTTGACAACAAAGAGAGGAACCCAGGGCCGGGCATGGTGGCTCACACCTGGAATCCCAGCACTGTGGGAGGCCAACGCGGATGGCACACCTGACGTCAGGAGCTCAAGACCAGCCCGGCCAACATGGAGAAACCCTGTCTTTACTAAAAATACAAGATTAGCTGGGTGTGGTGGCACATGCCTGTAATCCCTGCTGCTAGGGAGGCTGAGGCAGGAGAATTGTTTGAACCCGGGAGGTGGAGGTCGCAGTGAGCCAAGATTGTGCCACTGTACTCTAGCCTGGATGACAGAGACTCTGTCTCAAAAAAAAAAAAAAAAAAAAAGGCCGGGCTCACACCTGTAATCCCAGCACTTTGAGAGGCTGAATCACCTGAGGTTGGGAGTTCGAGACCAGCCTGGCAAACATGGAGAAACCCTGTCTCTACTAAAAATACAAAATTAGCCGGGCGTGGTGGCACATGCCTGTAAGCCCAGCTACTTGGGAGGCTGAAGCAGGAGAAATGCTTGAACCTGGGAGGTGGAGGTTGCGGTGAACCGAGATTATGCCATTGCACTCCAGCCTGGGCAACAAGAGCAAAACTCCGTCTCAACAACAACAACAACAACAACAACAACAACAAAAACTTAGAAGGAGGCATATGTGTTATAAAGTCTTTACTACAAGTTTGATTTTATTAGTGTTTGGTTAGTGACTCTGCCAAGAGTACAGAATGAAGGGCAGAGAATAAGGACTGGAAAACTGGCAGGAAACACACTGAGAGCCGCCATCCCTGGAGGAAACTGCTCAATACAATGGCTCCATATTCACTTCTCTAGTCACAATTTATACTCCACCGATTTTCACAAAGGATTCGGGGAAGCTGGATGCCGTTAAGTGGAACCCGGTGTCTCTGGAGGTAAGCCGCCTTACTGATTCCTTGTTTTACAATTATTTTTCAATTACAGTGTAACTACTAAGAGTTTCAGCTCCCACTGGAGTGGTGCACACATCTCATTACTACTAAAACCACAGGAATGTTCCAGGGAAACAGACTGTCATCATCGAGTGAGGTGGGATCCAGCCAAGCCCCAGGCTAAGCTCCAGACGCTGCAGATCAGCTAAAAGCCTTTTAAAGGCTTGGACTCTCCAGATACTAGTTTTAAGTCTTTTCTGGGAACTGGGAGTTTGTATTGGAGGCCACTTAACCATTTCAAGAAATATCCACCAAAATAGGTGTCTCTCTGACTGCAGTGGTTTCTGAGTCCCCCCAGCCCTCGTATCCCAGGCTTGGGACTGTTGGGAAAGTCCCGTCTCCTGTTGAAAGCTCAGCAGCAACAGAACCTGTTTAGTTTCGTTTTGTTTGAGACAGGGTCTTACTCTGTCACGCAGGCTGGAGTGCAATACTGCGATCTTGGCTCACTTGCAGCCTCAGTCTACCAGGCTCAGGTGATCCTATCTCAGCTTCTCGAGTAGGTGGGACTACAGGCATGTGCCACCATGCTTGGTGAATTAAAAAATTTTTTTTTTGCAGCGATACAGTCTCACTATATTGCCCAGGCTGGTTTTGAACTCCTGGGCTCAAGTGATCCTCCCACCTCAGTGTCTCAAAGTACTGGGATTACAGGCGTGAGCCTCCACACCCGGCCAACTCAACGTACTAGGATTACAGGCGTGAGTCGCCCACCTCAGCCTCTCACAGTACTGGGATCACAGATGTAAGCCTCTACACCGGGCCTGCAGAACCTACACAGAACCCACACCTGGTCCGCAGAACCCGCACCCAGCAGCAGAACCTCTTATTTTTTTTGTGAGATGGAGTCTCACACTGTCATCCGCGTTGGAGTGCAGTGGCGCGATCTCAGCTCACTGCAACCTCCGCCTCCTGGGTTCACGCCATTCTCCTGCCTCAGCCTCCCGAGTAGCTGGGACTACAGGCGCCTGACACCACGCCCAGCTAGTTTTTGTATTTTTAGTAAAGACAGGGTTTCACCATGTTGGCCAGTCTGGTCTTGAACTCCCGACCTTGTGATCTGCCCCCCTCAGCCTCCCAAAGTGTTGGGATTGCAGCCGTGAGCCGCCGTGCCCGGCTGGCAAACAAAACCTCTTTTTTTTTTTTTTTTTTTTTAGATGGAGTCTCGCTGTGTCGCCCAGGCTGGAGTGCAGTGGTGCAATCTCCGCTCACTGCAAGTTCCGCCTCCCAGGTTCACGCCATTCTCCTGCCTCAGCCTCCCGAGTAGCTGGGACTACAGGCGCCGCCACCTCGCCCGGCTAGTTTTTTGTATTTTCAGTAGAGACGGGGTTTCACCATGTTAGCCAGGATGGTCTCGATCTCCTGACCTCGTGATCCGCCCGCCTCGGCCTCCCAAAGTGCTGGGATGACAGGTGTGAGCTGCTGCACCCGTCCGGCCATAACCTCTTTACCTTGTGTTCCACGGGCTCCTTTCCTGTGGGTCAAAATCCCCTTGGGACCCTAAACTGAAGACCTTACAAGGTGGGTGGTAAGTCCAATAAACAGGATTTCATCTTCCGGAGCTCCTGGATTTCATCGTCCCACGGGCCACAGTGCAGCGACAGAACCTCCTCAGCCTTCTGTATTGTGCTCAGGGCTTCGGGTACTGCAAACCTGAGCCAAGGGAGGTAAGAGGAGTTAGCTCACTAATTCCGGAGGCAAATGTTCATTGAGGGCCTACTCACACACCGTGAAGAATATAAGATCATTTCTGTCATCAAGGATCTTACAGTCCAGAACAGTAAGACACTGTCACAAACATGCTGCAAAGCAGAATGTGAGAAAAGTTATAAAAGACAGTATAGACTCCAGCATCCTGAGAACAAGGGGCAAATCTCAAAGTGTTTTTTTCTTTGAGACGGAGTTTCACTCTTGTTGCCCAGGGAGTGGTGTGATCTCGGCTCACCGCAACCTCCGCCTCCCGGGTTCAAGTGATTCTCCCACCTCAGCCTCCTGAGTAGCTGGGATTACAGGCGTGTGCCACCACACTCGGCCTCAAAGTTTTCATCTGGTATTGACCACAGGTTTACACAGCAGTGTTCATTTTAGAGTGACCATCTTAGGGCTGACCTCTGACCTAACTCTGCAGCCCTTTTCCCTCGCTCTGACCAAACAGAATGGTCTCTGCCAGTCCGGGGTTGAGGTATCGGCCCACTCACCATTCATAGCCTTAGGTGAACCTTTTTTATTTTGAGACGGCAGTCTCACCTCTGTCCTCCAGTGCTGGGTGCAGTGCGGATCTCAGCTCACCGCAAGCCTCCTCCCGGGTTTACGCCACCTCCTCTCCTGCCTCAGCCTCCCCGAGCTAGCTGGGACGCACAGGGCCTGGCACACCTCGCCCCGCTAGTTTTTTTGTATCTTTTTAGTACGAGACGGGTCTTCACCGTGTGGTACGCTAGGACCTGCGCTCTCCGATCTCCTGACCCGTGACCACCCTGCCCCTCGGCCTCCCACAAGTGCCTGGGATGACAGCGCGTGAGCCAGCCGAGTTGAATCTTAACGACTTTTCTCCATAGCATGTACACAACGGCAGCCTTTACCGCCAAGGTTGGAGTGCTCCACCCAGAAATCCTGAATTGGGCCCTAAATGGTCCCAGTACAAAAGCGGACTTTGGCACACCCTTAGCGTATCAGTGTCGCCTCGTTCTTCTCCTTTTACACTGTCAAAGCAGCGTTCCTCTGCCTCTTAGACACACGACGGATTAAAACACCAACACAACAACACCAAACGCTGGGCGCGGTGGCTCACGCCATATCAAATCCCAACACCCCTTGGCGGGGACCTGGGAGGCACGGTGGACGCTTGGAGGCTCTGGCGAGTTTGCGAGCACCAGCCTGGACTCCCAACATGACCGACAACCCTTCGTCTCTGCTTTACCAAACCAATATAGCCTGGGGGCTCTTGTGGCCTCAAGCCTCGTTGAATCCCAGCACTTTGGGACGGTCCGGAGACGGGCGGATCACGATGGTCCAGGAGACGAGTACCATCCTGGCTAAACGGTGAAACCCTCTCTACTAAAACAATAGCAAAAAAACCACTAGCCGGGAGGTGGCGGCGCCGCCCTATGAGCCCAAGGCTACTCGGGAGGCGCTGAGCAGAGAATGGCCGAACCGGGTGAGGGAGTTGCAATGAGCTGAGTCGGGCCACTGCACTCCAGGCGGGGCGAAAAGAAGACCCCCCAGGAGCGAGCACCTCCATCTCAAAAAAAAAAAAAAAAAAAAAAAAATAACCGTAGCTGTAGTTAGGTACTTATAAGATATAAATTAGCAGGCGTGGTGGTGCGCATGCCTCTAATCCAGGCTACTGTTGAGCTTGAGGCAGAGTAGTCGCACTGAATGAAGCGATTTGTTTAATGAGACGCGCTGCACGGCCCACCGCAAACAAAAAACCCCATCGCTCAAAAAAAACCAACAACAACAAAGCAAGGTTCTCAACCCTGAGTACTAGTTGACACTGTGTAAATCCTCGTGCTGCTTGTCACTGCCTACACAGCAGAGCTTTAGCAGCACGCCTCTGGCTCCCAGCAACCAAGCACCCCGCCCTTCCAAGTCATTGACAAATGTCAAAGAACTCTCCAGAATTCGCAGCGCATGGAGAAGCGGTGACTGGTGACCGTGCCACGGCCACTCCAGCCTGGGGCAAGACACAAGGACCGCCTTGCGCGAAAAACAAAAAAAAAAAAGTCTCCACAGTGCACATGTTCTGGGTAAAATCAGCCGATTCGCCTGTGCAAGCAAATGCTGACAAAGACAGAGCTGGAGAGGAGAGAACGCAGAGCAGCCTGGAGCTGAGAGGTGCTGGGAATGAACAGCCAAGCTGTGATAACAGAAAACGGGAAAACACTCTATCCTGGGTGGGTGAGGCTGCCTGCAAGTTCTCTGCGCTGGGGAATTCACTTGAGATCTAAGACTTTCCCCATAGCCCAAGAAATTCGTTTTTTTTGAACGCGAGTCTCGCTCTGTCACCAGCTGGAGTGCAGTGGCGCGGATCTCGGGCTCACGGCAAGCTCGCCTCGGGGAGAAAATTCGTAAAGCGTTAAGTTGTGTGTTTGAGAAAAACAGGAAGCAAAGCTCTCTCGCCGCCCATAAAGAGGAAATAAAGAAGTTCACATGTTTTAAAAAGCACCATGGAAAAGAAAAATGAAGTACCCAGAAGAGGCCTAGAAAAGAACAGTGTGTGCCCTGTGAGGTGGAAGAGGACTCACCCATTGAAAAAGATCTGGGCCACGTTGAGAGAGAGCTCCATGGCCCATTGTTCAACGCTGGACGGCCCGTGTGCGACGCTCCACCCGCGGAGACCTCGTTCTGTGTGAGGTGGGTGGCTGTAGTTTTCCAGTCCCCTGTGAGGAAGAGATAAGTCTTGTTCAGAAAAGAACCACAGTCAGGAGTGGATGCGACCATGTTTGCGGGGTGGAGAAACGGAAGAAGCGGGAGCCGGCGGTCCGTTTAGAGTGCGGTAACCCAGGCGCAGACGCGCAAGGCCGGGGCCACGCATGAAACACCACAGCAGACTGTTCTTGGGGCAAGAACATGAGGGCCGATGGCCGTACCTAAGGCAGCACAGCCCGGCCAGGCCGTCGCGGGATCTCGTCCCACCAGCGTGCTGCCACAGGAAGCTCTCGGCATCACGCTGTGGCACTCCCGGACAGCAAGCCGTGAACAGCGCGCTCTGTCAATTCAGAGGAAAGAGGCCTCACTACAGACATAAGCCCAGTCCTAGAAATGAGAACCCAGGCCTCAAATTCTCTGAATCAGCTGGGCTGAATGTGGACATTCCCCTCGGCCTCCCTGGGTTGTCAGCAACCCACAGTGTCTGTTCCAATAAAGCGGCTGTTCTCTTATGTTTTCTCTGTCAGTGGAGAGAGGCGCTGGGGAGGCCTTCCCACATTCACCCCGGGTTTTCAACATCAACTTCCCAACTGGACCAACTCTACCTTCCACGTACGACCATGACTTCTCTTGACCCTGAAATCTAAGCTAAAGGTCAACTTTCATAAAGCAGGGTAAACACAATCCCATGACGTCAAGCTCTAAGGCAGGGTTTTCAAGGGCGATGGGGAGCTCCACAACTCTCTTTCTGAAAAGAGCAAGACACTCCTATCAGCTGGGCTCTCGCCCCACTGCTCCCCAGCACAGACCAGTTCTGAGGAGGGCAGAACCGCCCTTCTAGGAAGTTACGTTGCTAGGCCCTGGAATTAAAAGAAATGACACTGAACTTCTGGAACTGCACAAAGCTCACGGATGTCAGTGATGACCCGTTCGCTGGCAGGGGTACTTCAACTTAGCAATCGGATGCAGAAGAAAACAACAGCCGAAATCACCTGGCCGGCTTTTCAAGCCCCACCAGTAACTCACGGGCCTGGTCAGGGTTTGGTCTCACTGGCCTATATAGCCATCTTGTGGCTGGCATGGGGAATAGCATTCGACGTTCTTCCATCAGTGACTAGTATTCGCTTGAGTCCAAAATGGTATCAGAATGAATAAAAGGGAAGGGTCTGGAGGACCAAAGCAGGGGGAGCCAGTCTCACCTAGTTCCCCATCTCTGAGAAGCTTCTGGGCCACTCTGACCTGCTGCTGAAGGTCCTGTAACCGGAGACTAGGTGGTCTCTGCTGACGACCGGATTCTGCACAAGATCTGTTGCCACAGCGCAGCACGCCATCTCCCTGTGGAAGTTCAGTTTTCTCTTTATTCCAACGCCAGGGTCGGTTTCAACGTTGCCTGTGCTTACATTATAGATTGCTCCACAGTTTCTTCACCTCATGGAGGAAAGTGACCGCTTAATAGGCACATCAACGACCAAAGCCCTGATAGAAACTTGGTTTGATTGGCGGCAGTTCCGATGAAGGCAGGAGCTGATCCCACCTGAGGTTTCATTCTTGGAACAGAACAGGATAGTGCACCTTTTCTTTCCATTTCTATAGCCCTCTCGTCGCTTTTGGGCCCAGACTTTAGATGACGAACATTTCTGGCGTGGTATGAAAAGTCCTCAGGCGAAACCAATAGAGAAGGGCCGGGCGCGGTTGGCTCAACGCCTGTAATCCAGCACTTTGGGAGGGCCAAGGTGGCGTGGATCATTGAGGTCAGGAGATTCGAGCCATCCTGACTAACACAGGTGAACCCCGCCGTCTTCTAAAAATCAAAAATGTAGCTGGC